GCCCCACCAGCCTGGCCAGGGCGGCAGGAGCTGCCAGGCCCTCCCTGAAGAGCAGGAGCCATGTGGGCGCGGATAGCCAGGAAACACGGGAAACAGATGTGCGTGCCGGCCTGACAGGCGAGTGATGACAGACGCGCTCTGCAGGCCTCAGATGTCAGCGCTGAGGAAAGAAAGGCACCGTGGCGGCAACACCTGTTCTGGGCCGGGAGGCCGCCCTGGGGGGCTCGGCGAGGCGTCCCCGCGGTGAGGGGCCGGGGTGCGGTTAGGTAAACAGCTGCATGCTCCATTACCCAGAACGCTCTCCAGACGGAGCTGGAAGAGGGAAGGGCTGGCCTGCCGGCCAAATGGCTTGCAAGGAAAGCAAATCGATCATGCAGCTGACCCATCTTGGACGGAGCAGGCCTCTCCCGGCAGCAGGAGGAGTCCCGGCTGAAATCCCAACACCTGAGCAATGCTGGGGAGAGCACAAAGGGCACACGTTGTCAGCAGGCTGGAGGCGCAGGGGACGGAGCACCAGCTAGCAGGGGCTTCTCAGGGCCTCTGGTCTGTACAGACACCTCCTGCCTCTCAGCTGCTGCTGAGTGGGAGGAGGCACACGCAGGGAAAATGATGACCCGTCCCCCCTCACCCGAGGGCACTGCCACCTTCAGAACTGGGGCCCCAGAGGGGACGGAAAGGCAGGACAGAGGAGAGGGCAGGGCACAGACTACAGAACTGGACTCCGGGTCCAACTCTGGTCCTGTGGTTACTGGCTGAGTGACTTTGGGCAAATCACTTGACCTCTCTGGTCTTGCGTTTTCCTCTATGAAACGAGCACAGAGGCTCCTCCCCACACAGGGTTGTGATGAGGCCGTAGTAAGTGTGAGCACAGGTGAAACAGTGGCACCAGCAGGCACATGGAAAACATCCTATTCAGACATCATCACCATCATGTCCCCAGTGCCATCTCCAGCAGCCTGGTCAGCTGTGCCCACTAGCTCTGACGAGAAGGACCACCATTCTCCACCCCCAGCGGAGAGGTGGGGGCCAGGGACTGCAACATCGGAGCCAGAGGGTGACAGTAAGAGACACCGCATAGCCTCCAGGGCCTCAGGGAGGGAGGGAGGGAGGGAGGGAGGAACAGGCCTCCTATCCTTGCTGAACTTAAGCTGCTCTGACATCGCAAACCACAGCTCTGCAGGAGGCTGTTGTCTTGGTTGACTCTTTGTTCCCCTGACACTGAAGATCATCTACTGCAACGGAGGCTCAGAGAGGGCATGTGTTGACTCAAGGTCACACAGCCAGCTCCCAGCGGAATGACAATGAAAGCCAGGCCTGTCAGAAGGCCAACCCAAGGTCTTTCAGTGGCTCTGCAGAGCCTTGTGTGTGAGGGGGTTCCTCCCCGGGAAAGGGATGCCAGGACCCTGCAACAGTGGGCTGCACCCTCCCCAGCCCAGCCTTGCACAGCCCTCTCCGAGCGGCCAACTCAGAGACATGGTGACTGCAGGACAGGGTTCTCTGGGGCAAGGGGTCCAGCCAGAGAGAGAAGCCACAAACACACCCAAAGGGCACTGGTGACCCTCTCTTTTCTTTCCTTCTTCCTTTTCTCCCTTCCTTCCTTCTTTCCTTTCTTCCCTCCTCCCTCCCTTTCCTTCCCTCCTTCCTTCCTTTCTTCCCTCTTCTCTCCCTTCCTCCCTTCTTTCCTTCCTTCCCTCTTTCTTCCCTCCCCTCCTTTCTCCCCTCCTTCCTCCCTCCTTTCCTTCCTTTTTTCCCCCTCCTTTCCTTCCTTCCTACTTCCCTCCTTTCCTTCCTTTCCTCCTTCCTCCCTTCCCTCCTTCCCTCTCTCACATTCTCCTTCATACTATTTAAAGTTGTCACTAAGGAATAACTGCTAACGGGAAACAGCTGAGGCATTATAGAAGGCGGTATAGATGAGGCTCGGGAACATGCCGTCCCAGTTAAGTGGTTTCCCCGTGGCCACCCTCCAAAGCCCCAGCCACTCCCCCCAAATTCTCCAGCCACATACTAAAGGGAGACACGGCCTATGAACGTGAGAACCGAGGAGTCGGGAGCTGGCCTAGGGAACGAGCGTGGCGGCCTTGGCCCCCTGGGTGGCTCAGCTGCCTCTTTGCCCAACAGTTCCTGCGCGCCAGTCCCTCCATAGCGTGCCCAGCTCCCGCCAGCGTGCTCTCACTCCCCACCCAGGCTGGCACCGGGCATCCTCCTCCTGCTGTGCTCACAGCTCTGCAGGAGGCTGTTGTCTTGGTTGACTCTTTGTTCCCCTGACACTGAAGGCTCTGAACTTGCCACCAAGTCCTTGGTGTCTGGAGCAGCACCTGCCTCAGAGTAGGCACTCCATAAATGCTGTCTGAATGAAGGGGAGGCAGGGGTGCAGGGGGGAAAGGCAGAGGTGGCTTCTACGGCATCCACTGTCAATCAGGTGCTCTTACAGGTGGGGTCTATGCTTCCTTTTCCATCGTCTAATCCAGCCTGAGACCCGCCCTGCTGCCTCCACCACCAACAGGCCCGCCGGCCTCCCCATCCCCCTGCCTTGCTGCCACTGCCAGGCCCTGGGGGGATCTGTTCCTGGCCTGTTCCACTCCTTCTTGTAAGAACGTTTTATTGCTCCCCTAAACCCAACGTCTTTTCCTGACTTCAAGGCTTCTAGTTCCTCCATCCTTGCTTCCCCTTCATCTCTCCTCCACCACACCCGGGCGGACTCCAGCCCATCCAAGGCTGCATGGCTCCTCCTTCCCTCTGTGCCTCTCCTCCTGCTTTCCCTCACTCCACCCCATGAATAGGAATTAGGGGTCAGAAGACCTGGGCTCAAAAGCCATCTACGTGGATCGTTCACAAGGTCATCTGACTTTTCTGAGTCTCGACTTACTCATCTGTAAAATGGGCTTCGTCGGGCCTCCTAGGGCCATGGTGAGGAGTTAAAAAAAAGGAATGGTGGAAAAGGCAGCCTGACACTCAGCCTTCCCGAACGCATGCTGACCCCCTTCTGGACAGACACCAGCCTGCATGCTCTTCCACACCAGGCTCCCCCCAACGCCCACCTCCCCCGCGGGACTAAGAACTGTAGCTTCTTTGGTTTCCTCGGGCTTCTATCCATCGAGGCCGCCGGTTGGCGTCTCATCAATCCTGATGAGCGAGCAAATCAACATGAGAAAACTCAGCCCAGTGTGGATGCTCTGCAGAAAACACGCTGTCGGGGAGGCCCCATCGACAGCACTCAGATTATCCCATGGCACACCGTCATACCTAAAACCCACACCCAGCCTGCAGCCCCGGAGCCTTGTGGAAGATTAACCTCGAAAACACTGCCCCAACACGTTGGGCGGACATGGTCCCACTACGATCCAAGCACTTGACTTTCCGCGAGTGTTTAAATTCCCCCGTTCATTCAGTTCTCGCAATGACCCTACGAGGCGGGTGACAGAGATTTCCCCTCCTCAGCCAAGGAAATGAGCGCGGCGAGGATAGTAAACGCACTCACTGGCACTGGTTTCTCAGAGAAAGGAAAGGATTGGAACCAGGGTCTGACCTGCTCCGAAGCTGGGCTCTTTTCCCAGGGCCAGCCCCTGCGGAAAGTGCAATCCTCCAGATGTCCAGCAGTAGGCGCCACAAAGATCTACCACCCACCACCAATGAGAGGACATACCACCCAAGTCCCCAAAGGCAGCTCTGAAGTCCAAAGCAACCTCGGTGGAGAAGCCATGGACAAAGCCTGAGGAATGACGAGGGGAGCAGGGGAAGGGACAGGGCAAATTTGAACCATGTCACTTTATTTGTTTGATTGTTTGTTTGTTTATTTCAGAGAGGAAGGGAGAGAGAGAGAAAGAGAAAAATCAATGAGAGAGAATCACGATTGGCTCCCTCCTGCACACCCCACACTGGGGATTGAGCACTCAACCCAGGCATGTGGCCTGACTGGGAATCGAACCGTGACCTCCTGGCTCCTAGGCTGACACTCAATCACTGAGCCACGCCGGCCAGGGCATGGGCCAGGTCACTTAAAAGGTGCCACACACATGGACACAGGGGAGGCAGGACCAGGACCTTCCAAACAAACGGAATGGCTATTCCCGAACAGACCAGAGACAGCCTTCCCCCTTCCCACATCCTCCTGCCGGCCCCTCACCAGCGGCGACCGCGACAGGCGCCTGATGGAAACAAGCCCGTCTGTCTTTGGTAGACATCGGGATTCCTGGCCCTGGGTGGCCACCGTGGTGATCTCAGTTCACGGATACCCACTTCAGACCCACCGGAGGCAGCTCCTGCCCCAGCCTCTGCAGAGCCAGATCCGGAATGAACTGAGCCCTGTCTGGCTCCTCCTGGGCAGGCAGCGTGAAGGCAGGCGCCTTATAAACAGGGCCAGCGCCAGGCCTCCTGCCTCCTCCGGCACAGCTGACTTGCAGAGAAGAAAGACTCACTTCCCACAGGGGGAAAAAAGTCTGCTTGGGCCACTGTCCTCCTGGGTACCAAAACCCTCACATCTGGAACTCTTTCTATCTGCTGTTAAGCAACCAGAGTCACAAAGGAAAAGTGTGAACTTGGATGGAAAACTCTGGAAAAGCTAAGCCACCGGGGAGCTAGCGTGAAGGGGAACTTCCACCTCTGATGTGTTTGAAAACCGGGTAAGCACGGAGACCTCTCGGTGACCTGCGTGGCTGGACTAATTACCAATGTTATCAGGCGGATGACAGACATGCCCCGAACTTCCTCTGTTTGGTAGATCCTGCTGCAAACACACACTCAAGTTCAGGCCCATGCTTGATGCTTTCAGCGGTGCCCTATTCTTCCACAAGACCACTCCTGGCCCCCAACTCCGCTGAGCATGTGCATGCCTCTGAGACCAGCCACGCCGGTACATCCACCGAGCACCAAGCCTGCTGACTCAGGCGCCCCGCTGGAACACACCACACAGAAATCAGTGCTAACTCCTGGCCAGAGACACAGCACACATCTCTTCTTTCCCTGCCTGGATTTCAGAGGATGAGAAGAGAACCGCGGCTTACCTTTGTCGCCGTGGCCACCGGGGAGCTCCAGCCCACCACAGGTCCCTGGCGGGCGTGCCCTTGGCCAGCACATACCAGAGTCCCACACTCCACACAGGCGCCGATGATCAGCTGCCGCCCGTCGTCCACCAGCAGGCTGCGGCTCGCGCGCAGGGTATAGAGAAACAGGGGCAGCCGGGCCACCCGCACAGCCTTCAGCCCCAGACACCGCTTCCTCTCCTGCTGGCAGAAGAAGCACACAAACGTGTCCACTTGGTACTGCCGGGACCAGGCGCTGACGGCGTGGTGAGCGTTGCGCGCCTCGTGCTGCAGCCACTGGCCCAGCAGGTCGTGGTAGCAGAGCACGCAGGTGGCCACCAGGCCCGTGGAGTCGGCAGGCCTGGCGCGCGGAGCAGGCGGGTACACGGTGAGGAAGGGGAAGAAGGGCTCCTTCTCGCCCAGGCGGCTGGAGGGGTTCACGTTGAGCTGGAACTCCTTCCCGGGACCCAGCTCGGTGCCGCAGATGTAGCAGACGGACACGGTGACGCCGGCCTGGATCGAGGCGGGCAGCTCAGAGAGAGCCGGGTCGGAGGCGGGGAAGGCCTGGTGGTACCTGCCCAGGAAGGCCTGCACCGACGTGATAAGCTCCTCATTCTGACAGGCCCGGTACAGGGCCCAGATGTCCTCCAGGACGCTGAAGCACTTGGGGCAGCTCCGAACCTCACAGCGCTTGTTGGGGCCCCGGGCGTTGGGGGGGCAGGGCAGGAGGCTGAGGAAGGGGAAATGCATGGTGCTCCTGGCGTTGCCGTTTAGGATCCTGGAGGCCACAGCCCGGGCGTCAGGGGTGCAATCCTCCCCACAGAGGTAGCAGGCCTCTGGCAGGGTCCCCGAGGGCGTGCCCTCCTCCCTGGGGAGCCTCCTGCCCTTGGAGGCCATGCCGGGGGCGTGGCTGTTCAGAGGCACCACGTACAGTCTCTGCAGGACCGGCACGCTGGCCAGCTCGAAGCTTTGCCACTGCTGCATGAGGGAGGAGAAGCAGCAGGGACACACCAGGGTGCTGCCACCCTCGCTGATGGGCTGAGCCCCGGGAGGCGGGCTGTGCAGCCACAGGAAGGGAAAGAAGGGGGCCTGAGCCAGCTTCTCCTGCTTCTGCACGTGGATCTGGTGCTGCGAGGCCGGGGACAGCGCCGACCCGCAGATGTAGCAGCAGAGGCCCCCTGGTGGCGCAGCGCGGCTCTCCGGGGGAACCCGGGGGACGCGGCCACCGGCTTCCTTCTCTTTGGGGCCACCACAGGAGCTGGGGAGAGGCTGCTCCTTTCGGTCCTCCTCCTCGCTGGTGATGTTGATATCACTGTCCTCGGATAGGCAGTAGCCTCCTCCCCGGGGCTCCCCCAGGGGCCTGCTCTCCAGCGCCTTGGCGGCCCTGCCCGGCGGGGCTCCTCTTATGCCGTCTGCAGGGGCCACGGGGACTGGAGGGCCTGGCCACGGGCCTTGAATCCCTCTCAGGACACTGGCCCGCGCCTCGGGGACCCAGGGCCTCCCCACGCCCTTTCTCCGGCGCCTGATGCCGCCGGGCTTGGGCTCTCCGTCCACGTGGAGCTTCGAGGGGTCCCCTTCCTGCTCCTCCTCCACGTTTCCCAGCTCCGGGGTCCCGGCTGCGCTCTGTCCCGGAGGGGGTCCCGGCGCCGCCGCCGTCCTCCAATCCTGGCCGCGGCCCCCTCGAGGCGGCCCAGTCCCCGGCCCCAGAGCGGTCCGCGCCGCCGCCAGCGCCCCGTCCTGGCGGGGGCTCAAGGCGTCGCGCGGGACAGGGTCCGGGTCCGAGAGGGGGTCGGTGTCCGACAGCTCGGACAACTCCGAGTCTCGAGGCTCCTCAGCGGAGACTCGGGGGCCGCCGCCGTCCTCGTCGTCGTCGTCGTCGCCGCCGGCCGCGCCGCCCAGCGCGTAGGCGACGTTCCACTCGCGGGGGGCCCCCGCGCCCCCGCGCCGCCCGCCCGCGCCCGCGTCGCACTGGTGGGGCCGCTTGAGCCAGTACATGCGCTTGTCCACGGGCGTGCGGGCGCGCTCGAAGGCGGCCCACTGCTCGCCCAGGAAGCAGCGGCACACGGCGCACACCAGCACGCAGCCGTCCGCCGGGCACAGCTCGCGCGCGCCGGGCGCCGGCTCCTGCTGCTGCAGGAACGGGAAGAAGGGCTGCGCCGCCGGGGCCCCCGCGCCCCCCGCGCCCGCCGCCGGCTGCTTCACCTGCAGCTTCAGCTCCTTGCCGCGCCCGATGCCGCCGCCGCAGATGAAACAGGAGAGCGGCGCGCCGCCGCCGCCGCCGCCGCCGCCCGCCGCCCGCTCGCCCACGGCGGCCATGAGCCGCTGCTTGCGGGAGACCGGCCGCCCGCTCATGGCCGCCCCGCGCCGCCCGCCCTCAGCGCCCGCCCGCGCCGCCGCCGCGCCCAACTTGGAGCATGTGTGCGCGCCGCAAAGTTTGGCGGCGGGCGGCCGGCGCGGGCGCGGGAGCTCGGCCGCCGCTCACTGGGGCGCCCCCCCGCCCCCCGCCCGCCCCCGGCCCGGCCCGGCCCGCCCAGCCCCCGGCGGCGCCGCGCCCAGCGCGCCCGGAACGCAGCGGCGGCGGCGGCGGGCCCCGGGCGGCTGGAGCGGCAGCCGCATGTGCGAGCTCGGCGCCTGCCAAAGCGTTGGGTCATTTAATTGGGGAGGAGGGAGGCGGGAGGGCGGAGGAGAGCGGAGGGAGGGGAAGGGAGGAGGAGAGCGGGCGGGAACCAGCGGGCAGGGAAGCCCTCCCTCCTCGCGCGCCCTCCCCTCCTCCTCCTCCTCCCCCTCCTTCTCTCCCCCTTTCCTCTGCTGTCCCCCCTCGATCCTCCCCCCGCGTCCCAAACTGCGCACAATAGCGCGCCGGCTCCTCTATCTATTTTGTGTCCAGCCGGGAGCCGCGCGCGATGATTCATGGCCCCAATTAGGGGCTCTCTCCAGCGCGCCGGGCTGGAGCTGTCTGAAGGGTCTCCTCGGGGGACCCGCGGAAACCCATCAGCGGCTACAGCTGGTCTGTAAGTAAAGGTCAAGCAGGACGCAGGAGGAGCCAGGTAAGGAAGTGGCTGGTGTCCGCTGAGACGAGTCAGCGGGGGAGCTCTTGGGGGGTTGGGGGGGAGCAGCCTCAGTCCAGGAGCCAATTTCACTCAGGGTGCCATGGCCCCCTCCTCCTCTTTCCAAAGGACCATTTACAGCCCTCCGCAGCCCAGAGTTGGGGGCACTTTCCAGGGCCCAGTGTTCTAAATTTGGAGGCAGAGGAGCCATCGCGTCTCTTGGAACACGTTAGTAAACGCACCATGGGGGGGGGGGGGGCGGCAGAGGCATCCGCCTGACACACCCCTCTGCACCACTCCCGGGGGGGTAGAAAGGGTCCTGAGTGTCCAGAGCTGTGTGTTCCAGGGCAAGTGACTCTACAACTCTGGGGCCTTTCTTCCTCGTTAAACCGGAGCTCTGACAGGGGATTCACTGTTTCCATGTAATTATCGTGTATGTGAATAGATGCATTGTATTTATTTAATACACAGAGAGAAACCTTAGCAGCATGCGCCAAGGTTCTTTTTCTAAGCACTTTATTTATTTAGTTATTTAGTTATTGTTAATCCTTAAAGGAGGATTGATTCCCCCCCCCCTCTGATTTTTAGAGAGAGCAAACGAGAGGAAGTGAGAGAGATACGTAGATTGGTTGCCTCCTGCATGCCAGATACCTGTCCTTGAACGAGGAATCAAACCCTTGAGCTTAGGCTCTAACCACTGAGCACACCGGCCAGAGCTTTTCTAAGCACTTTATATGCACCAGCAGTTACTCCTCCCGTGACTCTGGGTTAGCCTGTGATGAAAAGCCTGTTTTGCGGTTGAGAAAGAGGAGGCACAGAGGCACTACTTTTCCGGAGCGCTGGGGCTGGGAGTCAGACCCTGTGCAGCCTCGCCAGGCAAACATCTGGCCCCCATTACCCCCTTTCTGCTGATTGAGATGGTCTATGGTAGGACACATGGCAAGGACCCTCCGTAGGCCCTGCAGCTCTGGGAGGCTGGGAGGCCTTGTCACATCCAGGCCTTTCTGGGCCTCGCATTCCCCATCTGTGAAATGCCACCCCTTCTAGCCTAAAAATTCTATGAGTCTCTGATTTCTGAGCAGGTGACAGCTGTCCTGGCCTGCCAGCTGGAGCCCAGAGTGAGCCTGGGGACAAAGGTGCCATGTGGGCCCCTGTGCCCTCTGGGGCACTGACATGTAAATAAAACTGGGCTTCCTCGGGTGAGGAGGAGGGCCATGCCTTATAAATAAACGGGACAAGAGGAAAGGGCCACCTCTTTGGAAACCCTGGTGGATATTCCAGGGGTCACAGTCCAGGGGTGAACAGGAAAGTCAGCATCATCGCCAGAAATGCAAAAGGCAGGCCTTCCCTGAGGCTCATTAAAAAAAGCTGTATCAGCCAAATTGCCCCGAAGGAATGTTGGAGGCAGGGCAAGGAGTTTCCCTGCTTCTGGCATTTTTAATACCTGGGGAGAGGAGGTGGACTGGTTGGGAAAACCTTAAAGGGTGAGGCCTGTTTGATTGCATCCTAACACAAGGAGGAAGCCTCACACAGACCAGGAGTTGCTGGTAAAGCTAGGCCAGCTTAGGCAGTGCAGGTCCACGGTGGGGTTCCTCGTGGGTTCCTTAAGGCTTGCACATGCTGTTCCTCCCACCTCCAGTGCCTTTCCGGGCTCTCTGTCCCTCTTTATGGCCTTGGCTGCACTGTCTTCCCGGGGAGACTTCCCTGCCTTCTCCATTTCTAGTCGGTCCCTCCTGTTATTCTCTGACTCAGCTCATTGGCACAGGAATTTGCTGTTGATTTTCTTTTCTGTCGACTGTTCCCTGTCTATGCTCCTTTTCCCGGGCAAGAATCAGGTCTGTCTTGCTCACTGTGGATAGCCTGGCCCATCCTTCTCTAGTAGAGTGAGCCTTGGGCAAACCTCTTAGCTCTCTAACTCTCAGTTTCCTGCTCTGTACAATGGGATCTGGATCCTCACCAGATCTTTGTGTGTGGGTCAAATGAGGCAGAGAAAGCCCAATGCTCTGGGCACGGGGCCTGGCACATTGTAAGTGACAGTGTATGGGTGTTGACTCTGCCTGGCTCTATCCAGTGTTGAGGAGGTTCTACTACTGCCTGTCTGCAATCTGAGGTGAGGGGGACACTGTGATGAGGTCCCACACAGTGACTGAGGAAGGAGAGCCACAGGAATCAATGGGATAAAAAAAGGGAGGTGGCGTTTTCTTGGCTAAGCTGGAATCATTTAGTACGTGCCACATGTGTACAAAGTGTGTGTATGCATGTGCTGGTGTGCATGTGTGTATGTATTCATGTGCTTTGTGTATGGATATGCATGCATTCAAGTGTCTGTGTATTTGTGTTTGCATGTGTTGGTATGTGTGTGTGCGTATGTACATGTATGTTCATGCATTCCCTGTGTGTGCATATGAAGCAGACAAGGAGCAGGAGGAGAGAAGCATCCAGGTGGATGTTTTATTTTCCTCATTGACCCAGTGACTCAGGTAAGTCCCCTGCCACACATCTCAGAAGCCAGGCACAGATCTCAGAAGGAGGAAAGCAGGTGGTGGTGGTTGGTGATCTGTGGGTGGATGGCATCTGGGGGGGGGGGGGCCACTAGCACAGATTGACCTAGCAGATTAACCCCTCGGTTCTGCCTTTTACTAGCTGTGTGGCCTTGACCTGCAACTTAACCTCTCTGAGCCTCAGCTTTCCCACCTGTAAAACAGGGATAACAAAACAACATACTCCATAGAGCTGGGAGGAGGATGGAGTGAGACAGCCCAGGTGAAGCACTCTCTCTAAACTCAGAGGTGACAGTAGTTTGGCATATGGGTGGGATGTGAAGTACACACACAGAACTGTGCCTTACAGATGCAAAGACACAAATCTTAACTGTGAGCCAATGAGGTAGGTTCTGTTACATCCCCAGTTTACAGGTGAGGAGACAAAGGCACGGGGAAGGGCAGTGAAGGCCCAAGGTCATGAAGGTTGGTGGCTGGACCGAGGCACCATGTCTCCATAACCCCCTTAGCTTTGCCCTAAGTCTGAGATGCCAGCTTGTTAGGGCAGGAAGGGCAGAGCCTTGTCCTCCCTCTCCTCACATGTGTCCCCCATTTCACAGATAAGGAAACTGAGGCCCTGACAGGCTTGTGCCTGGACACAACACAGGCCAAGTGTGCAAGAAAATGAGCAAGGTTAAGGCTCATCTGTATTAGTGTCACATGCCAACATAGTCTCAACACTCCAGTTTCTAAGGAAGTGAGGAAAGCTCATCAGGAATGAGCCACCAGATTATCCCAGAGCCACAGCCTCCTGGCCCCAGCAGAGCCCTCTCTTTGCTTCCCTGAGTCTCTCCACCCCGTTTGCAGCTCCCTCACACCATGTGGTATGCGGTCTCAGCTCTCCCCATTTCTAATCCTAGTTCGCCAGTGCAGTGGACTGGAAAAGCTCCCACAGAGGCTCATAGGCAGTCCTGGCTCTGGGGACTGGGAGGAAAGACCCGCCCCTCGGTTCTGCAGGAGACCAGAAAGCACCCGAGTGGAGCATCTCAGACGTGCGGCTTTCTGAAGGGCTGGCTCAGAAGCCTCAGGAACCTGCCCGCACCCTGCTGGAGAGTGCGCTTCCAGGCTCCGAGCACTTCGCACCGGTGATTCTATGTGTCTGTCCCTGAGCCTGCCTCTCCCACGAGAGCAGAGCCTGGGTGGCTTTCCTTGTCCCATCCCACAGTGTCTCAAAGCCAGGGGCCCCATCCCTGCTTGCACCTGGGATGCCAGACTGTATCCCAAACCTCACCACACCCTCCAAGTTCCAGAGTGGGGCAGCTCCTGCCACCTTCTCCTGCTCTGTCTTCTAGTCTCTTACTCTTCCCAGTGCCAGCAGTCCAGATCAATGCCCCGGGCTCTCCAGACCTCTTACCCCCACTTCCCTCCTCACTGGCCTTTGCTGTTTCCTCCCCCTCTACACTCTGCATGTACCCCTGGCATCCCTCCCAGGCCCATGCACCTTCCCAGGCTGGCCCATCCTTCCTCTTTTAGAGGCTACGGTGCTGTGTGTTTGGCCTGTAGCTCGCTAGGGACTAGAAAAACAAAATTTATCATCTGACTGCCCTATTTTTTTTTTCTTTTTCTATTATTTTCCCAAGAATGAAGCAAGCTCTTCCCTCCTCTCAGAAAGAGCTTCAAACATAGCCAGCTACTGGCAAAAGTATATTCTCCTTCTCAGAGAAGGAAATGAAATCGTTAACCATAAAGAAAAGCCAAACCTGGGATTTATGGAGGCCGTGGGTTTATGAACCATTTCACGTTTATTAGGCTGCGTGGCATGGCC